TGGGTCGATCTCTCATTATTTTCACACCAAGGACAAACCTGCCTTCACCTATGTCCTGCATCTCAAAAACAGAGGACAACCACTACTTAGCGTCATTGATCATCTCCATATTGTTTCCAATTTATAGTATATCATCAATGTATAAGAAGAGAAACATAATCCCTCTGTTGTTTTCTTGACATACACATAATGGTCTTCATCTATCATGGATAAGCCAAATGAAGTAATGACTTCATGAAATTTGAAATACTATTGTTTGAAAAACTGCTTGAGACCATATATGGATCTTTTAAGACGACAAACTTTGTTTTCTTGATATTTTAAGACAAACCCAATCGGTTGATCCATATATATTTCTTCCTTAAGTGTACCATTAAGGAAAACAGTTTTAACATCTATTCGAAATAACTCCATGTCCAAATTTGCAACTAAGGTTAGAAGGAGGCGAATAAAGGCAAATCTCATTACATGAGAAAAATTCTCTTCATAGTCTATACTCTCAATTTTGGTAAAACCTTTCGCCACTAGTCGGGCTTTAAACTTTTTAATTGATTCATCCATTCCACGTTTTGTTTTAAAAATTCACTTGTTTCTAATTGATTTATGTCGAGGCAGGAGATCAACTAATTTTTAAACTTTATTTTTCGTCATTGAGTCCATCTCATCTCTCATGGCATCAATCCACTCTTTATTATTTGGTGAATTCACAGGCTCCTTAAAGGAGGTGGGTTCCTCAATTTCTAAAAAAATGCGTAGAAATTTTTTTTATTTGATTTGGAAATATCGTTGGAAAATTTTTTCACGTTCACTTCTTCGAATTCTAAGACCTCCATCACCTGCATGACTAGATGATAAATCTCTTCCACTGTCCATTGGCATGAGATTTGGAAGTTAAAGACTAGCCTCATGTTCTAAGCTTGGATCTTGAGGATTGACCCAAATTTTCGGTGGATTGTCATTTATAGGCAAGTTTCCACCATCTAGAATAGTAGGATCATTCCTACTATCTCTTTAATTTAGTGGAATATCACTATTCTTGGTGACTTGGTAGGTTCTCAATACCTCCATCTCACCAATAAATAGTTTGATGCCTTCCTGTAACTCATATAGTTCGAGATTCTCTTTTATTTCACAAATACTTAGGAACTCATCCTCAAGAAAATCAATATTGCGAGAGTCAATTTTGGTCATGCCGCCATTTGGGTGTTCTCCAAACATTACATATCATTTTGAATGTTCGGGATATCTGATGAACACTATCTTAGTTGTTATTGGACCTAGTTTTCCGTGCTTATGGGTTGGGTTATGCACTTATTTTGTCAACCCCTAAGGGTGTAAATGATCCAAAATAAGCTTCTTGTCATTTTATAACTCATATGGAGTGACGGGCACACTTTTATTTGGTACACGATTAAGGATGCAGGTTGCCGTAAGCAACACATCTCCCTAAAAATTATTAGAGAGGTTGACATGTTCATTATTGATCTAACCATGTCTAGTAATATACGATTCTTTTGCTCTACAACACCACTTTGTTACGGAGTATAAGGAATTGTAAGTTGCCTACATATACCCTTTTTCTCATAATATTCTTTGAACATATCATAAAGGTATTTACGACCACGATCGGTCAGAAAAGTCTTTATTCTTTGATCCATTTGATTTTCTACTTCTGCTACAAAAGTTTGAACATATCTAACGCTTCATAGCGGTGAAAAATTAGATATACATATCTATATTGTAATAATCATATGTAAAAGTAAGAAAATATGTGGCACCATGATGTGATTTAATATTTAAAGGTTCACAAATATTAGAATAGATTAATTCTAGGGGACTTAATGCCCTTAAAGCCTTACCAAAAGACTTTTTACTTGCTTTACCGATTAAGCATGACTCACATTTAGACAACTTAACCTTACTAAGTTGATCTAAAAGACCTTTTTTAGCTAGTCTACTCATTAGGTCTTGGTCAATGTGGCCAAATTTAGCATATCGTTTAATAGAGTCAGAATCACAATCAAAGTGAGAAACATAAGTAATCATAGAATTATTATATATACTATCATTTAAGTCAAGAATAAAGAACTTATTTCTTAAAGACCCATGACCAAATACATTGCCATGATATAAAATGTCTAAAGTATCATATTTAAAGTTAAAAAAAAATTAATCTCAATAAGAAAACAACCGAAAGTAAACAACATCGCACCTAGGGTACATAGAGAGTATTATGAAGGAGTAAAGTATTTCCTCCACATAGCTTGAGCTAGTATGTTGATTTCTAAGACATCCTCTTTACTGCCATTGCCCAATACAATAGTTTGCGGACCCACCAGAATACGATGATAGTCCATAAATCCAGCTCAATCTTGAACTACTTGTTTGCTTGCTCCCGTGTCTATAATCCAATTATGAAAAGAATTGACAACTAATGCATGAGAACTAACAAATAAATCAAAAGGCAAAATAGAGAAAGATACATTCTTCAGCTCAGAATAATCACAAGCAAAGTGACCCTTGTTGCCACAGTTGTAGCGCTTCATACGAGCTACATTTTTTTCTCTATGACCCTCAGCCTTATATTGTTTGGCCACACCATCTTTAAGTCCATTGGCTTAAAAGGGGTGTCGACATTTCTTAAATTACTTGGTATGATTAGGCTTGTTTCTCTTAGGTCTGACACCATGAGCAATAAGTGTCACATTGGAATGATTAAGCATCTTTTGACGTTTAACTTCCATTTCAATGTGCCTAGCAATTTCAGAGAAAGTATTAATGTGTTTACTATGAACCATCAAGAGTTTAAATTTTTTTCAACATTTAGGTACATCTGGAAGTGAATGAATCACATTTAGAATCTGTTCCTGATCTCTTATATCACACCCTCCAGTTTTAAGGTCACGAACCATAGCACTCATGACACGTAAGTATTCAGTTATACTGTGCTTTGAATTCATTTCATACTTCATTCACTTTAAATCTAAGGTATGGAGGCTTGTAGCGGATGTCTGACCATAAGTAACCTTAAGCTTATCCCACATGTCGTTAGCCGTGGAACAACTCTCAAACTCTCTAATGAGATCGTTATGCATGCAATACAACATAATATAGTTTGCATAACGATCCTTCTTAGACCATTCCTTGTATGCAACTAGATCCTTATTGTAACGGTCACTACCGATATTATGCATAACTAACTAATGTACATAAACTAATTAATATACATTAGTACAGTGATGATAAAATAACATTATAAAATATTAACATGCCGTCCAACTAAATAAAATAATGTGTATACACAGAATACTACTAAAATACACATACTGCAATCAACAAATATGCTAAAAAACACAAACAAACATCAATATGTTGAGTTGGCTTAATGGTGATGAAGGTCCTAAATTAAAAATATGGTTAGAGAGGTCAAGGATTTAATTTCTATTTTTAACATCTAATTTTTTCTAAGTAAAAGACACAATAGATGATATCATCATTATCATAATGATAGAGAAAAGAAGAAAGAAAAATAATAATAAAATAAAAGAGTTTTTCTTTTTTTTGCAAGAATCAACCATGTATATATATACGTATATGCATATCTCTCACAAACAATGCACTTTGTTTTTCACACACCACACAATGCATCATCTTCTTCCTTTTTTCTTTCAAGCACACACAGTGCAACTCCTCTCTCAGTTTTTTTTTTTTTCCAATTTTCACCCATGGCTAAAACTTCAATTTTTTTTAAACGCATTTGTGGAAAAAACCAAATACCCAGTTTTTATTATCAACAACTACAACCACTGCAAACGCTTACATATATTCAACCATCTCAACACTTACATTTAGGATGGAATCAAAGGAAGATAAATGCGCCACTCATGCAGTATTTTTGTTTTTAGATTTTTAGAAAATAAAAATACACATTAAAAAAAAGCATATTTTTTGGATTCATTATCATAAAAGAAATTAACAAACTTAATCCAGATTGAAGCATGACTATTATGGAGACAAATGCAAACAATTAGATTCTGATAGTACTGTTAGAAAATATTAGGACTAACCTTGATATAAAAATAATAGGAAAGAATGCTAGCTTTTCTGCCTACAGAGAACAATTCTTAATTGTTGACGCATTTTATTTTCTCCCGAATGCTATTAGAGTTCCGAATAATCTTTACACCCCAAAGACCAAGTCTGTTGATGGTTTTACTCAATGTGAGAGAGAGAATAATAATATATATTTTCTAGGTGTTATTTGTTTACTTAATTAAATAGAAATAATGTTTTTTCTCTCATGTACTCATCAAGAGTCATATATTTTTACAATAAGAGTTTTTCTCTTACAAATTCACGAAAAGTCATATCTTTTTACAATAGGTGTTGTAGTTTCTAATTTTATACAATATAAAAAAACAAAATCACGAAGAGACCGAGGACAATTTTAATGTTGAAATCCCTTAGAGTTTGGAGAATTCCATGGTCGAGGTAATTGATTGGGGGGGGGGGGGGTGGTGGTTAAGGTGTAGTTAAAAAAGGCTAAAAAATGTTGACTTTAGTAATGACATAGTTACAGACTTGGACACCACAACGTTAGAATCAAACTCATATTTATAGAACTTGCTAATAGATCAACGAGTTTAAATGGTATTAGAGAAAAGTGATCGAGATACGTTATTTATCTCATCTTTAAAAGTTAAAATTTTTTTAATGAAAAAAGTACTTTATAAAAAAATTTGAATATTTTTATGCAATTCAGGGGAGATTTTAATATTTTAACGTCCTTTAACTAAGAAAGAGTAATAAAAAAATGGTAAAATTGAAGAGGGGTCTGTCCCTAGATTATATTATACCAATAATTTTGTATAATTCTTTGTACCAAGAATCTTTAATGGAATCTTGGAGCGCTAATTGGAAATGCTAATCTGAAACCGTTGACCTTTTGTAGTGCTGTTCTTCTTCTCCGTCTCCGGTAATATTTAAATAAAAAATTTCAAACAAAACTAAAAGAACGGGAAAAAGTACATACAAATAAGGACAACAAGAAATCTATATCGCGCGCAAATGTCGCTGTTGCTGTATCAGTTTACTTAGCATATAAGCAACAACCTGATACTCTCTTCTCGTCAACGCTGCAAAATCTCGAACTCCGACAGGTAAGGTTTGATGATATTCATCTCCTTTTTTTCACTGTTTTTCTTCCTTTGCTTCTCTGTTTTACTTGGTAACTGTTTTCTAGGGCTCAATGCCTCTCTTTAATTTAATTTCCGGGTTCAATTCAAGTTCATCGTTTCTTAGTTTTAACAATACTGAATTTCTTGTGCTACGTTCTACCCTTGTAATGAATTTGCTGTTGGTTTGTGCTCTGTTGACTGTTAATTATGTGAAGCTGCACTATGTATGGAAAGAGACACAAGTCCAGAAGTAGGAAGAGAATAAGTTTGACGCTTTGCCGATAAACAAAGATTATCGAACTTGCTTATTATTTACGGGAATGATTCACTTGATCGCTAATTAATTTATAAATACGTACATATACATATATGTGGTTTCTGTCTTGTGTGTAAATAGGAGGTCGTGTCTTTGGACACCAGGTTGACTTTTCATCTCTTCTTGTGAACTTTGTGCTTAGCAGTCGAATGTTAGATGTTTCTGATACACACCATCCTAACCAAACTGGTTTATAATTTATCATTATTTTCTTCCTCTATAATTACTTATATGATGGTCTTTTTCCCCCTTTCCTGCTTGCTTGTTTGTACGCGCCATTATTGGTTTTGGTGTAGAAAATTGTTGTTGGATCCCCTTTTTTGGTGGTTACATATTAGAGTAGGTTTATTTCATGGCTTCTCTTTTAGTATCCTTATTAAATTCTCTCCTGTTTGGTGCAGTCTTAACAATTTACTGAGAATCCTTCTGAAAGACTGAGATTATTGGGGAAATGCTTGTTTCAGCTCTTCTAACGTCTGTTGGGATAAACTCTGGCCTTTGCGTCCTATTCTTTATTTTGTACTCTGTATTGAGGAAGCAACCCAGTAATTATAAAGTTTATATACCTCGATTGCTAGCTGAAGGAAATTCTAAAAGGAGGAGCCATTTCAACCTTGAAAGGCTAATACCTTCACCAGATTGGCTGAGGAAAGCTTGGAGTCTCTCTGAAGATGACTTATTGTCCTCTACAGGTTTAGATGCTGTGGTTTTCATGCGCATTATAACCTTCAGGTAGTCCACATGGATTATAGCTTAAACCCATTTTTGGGAAAATTAACTAGCCAAGATATTATTTGCTCCCTATGGGAGGAATCAGGCCAAAAGGCTTTCGGGATTAGAAAACATATATCTCCTTCATTTTTCACTCCTTTACTCAAAAACTATAATTACATGAATAACAAATTGAAAATGCTTGATGTATTTGTTTCCAATTTCTTTGTAATTAAGTGGCTTGTTTATAGTTTTCTTTTACTCAACGTCATGCCACTTCTATATTGATTTTGCAGCTTGAAAGTTTTCTTGTTTGCTGGAATCATTGGGATTTTTGTTCTCCTACCAGTAAACTGCACAGGAGGTCAGCTTCATGAGATTGACTTCAAGGATTTGTCAAATAATTCTTTGGATGTATTTACCATTTCCAATGTAAAAAGTGGCTCAAAAAGGTAGTCTACCTTTAATTTCATTTAACATGAAATATCTTCTATAAAACTGCATTGCAATCACTTCTGGCATATTGTGGTACTTTCAACATTTTTCCTTGTGAAGGTATAGTTATTTGTAAAAGCATGTAAGAATTTAGGTCATTACTTCTTTTGTCACCCAAGAATCAAGGGATTGTAGTTGCACAAAGGGTCCACTATGTTAACCTTAACTGCCAAAGCTTTTGAGGGCAAGAAGTGATTACTGAGCTAAGAGCTCATGATCATTTAGTTGACATTAGTTAATAGGAGCAAGTTTTAGGCTACGTTTCGTATTTGGTAGAGTGATAGATTCTGTAGGGTAAGGTAGTTGTATCGGAAGAGGTAAATTACTAAGAGCAAAATTCTTACTCTACCATATATTTGGCACAATTGGGGAAAGAAATGAGCAATGGTGGTGATGGGGCAGGCAGTGGATTTGATCATAGCAACGATAATAGTATCGGTGGTGGCAGCAATGGTGGTGGCGGCGAGTCTCTTTTTGTATAGATCTCCTCATACTATAAGCAGGAGACCTTGTAATATGTGATAAAAATTAGAGAAAATTAAAAACAATAATATTGTTTCTCTGTTTTCCTCTCAATCTACATGGTGTCCAAGCAAGATCTTTTGGCTAAACCCTAAACAGCTGTTCCTGTAGCCATCACAACATTAATAGACCTCCACCATGTCAGAAATTTGGGTTGTTTACTCCTTGTCTCCACCTAATGTTAACCAAACCCATAATCCTCGAGTCTCCTCTAATTTTGAAACTCACCTAGTCCAAATTATCACCATTCGTCTTAATGGCGATAATTTGTTGTGCTGGTCACAATAAGTCCAGATGTACATTAGAGGAAGAGGAAAAATTGATTATGTTACTGGTGCTACTTAGAGCTAGCCATTATGAATCCATTGTACGCAACTTTGGATCGAATGCCTATTCAAGTTTTGAAGTTTATCACTCCTCTAGATAAGTTCAAATTTTTTTTTTCTAATTTCTTGAACATATCCATATATTCCTTTAAAGGTTTTTGGATATACTTGTTTTGTTGATATTCCACATATATTTCAATCAAAGCTCGATTCTAAATCTGAAAAATGTGTTTTTATTGGTTATGCTCACAATAGAAAGGGATGCAAGTGTTTTAATCTTGTTGCAAAAAAAAAAAAAAACTCATACAAGTATAGATGAGATGTTCGTGGAAAAAAGCTTCTGATTTTAGCACAAATCACATTCAGTAATTGCTAGCCATTGTGGAATCTAATATAGGGGGAGAAATACTGCAGAGGAATTTTGAGACTCTAGTCTATATTGGAAAGAAGCTTTATAAAAATACTACAGTTCCAACTGTTATTTATGCAAATCAATCACAGAAACCAAATGATGGTGTCGAAGAAACACAGATAAAATGCAAATTCACTAGGTAGTCTGATGCGGAACCCAATATCAATCAGCATGATCAGGAACTCATATAATTTTATTTAAAGGTATCAAATGAATTGATTCTATAGAAATCCTTCCTATTTAATCCGTTATAAAAAATAATAAGAATTAAGATTACTGAAAATGAAAGAAATAGAATGGAAAAACGCCACAAGGTCGTATCTTGATAAGTAAATCCACTGCTTACTCAACAAGATGGTAAAAAGATCTTTCTTGAAAAGAAACACTGTTAACGTTATTGAGATAATTCTTGAATGTCTTATAATGAAAACTTGGTGATTTATTTATAAGTTAAGTAAAGTAAATAAAAAGGAAAATAAAATCTCTTAATTTAATTTACAATTATATAGGAAATAAATTTAAAATTAAAAATTAAAGACTAATTTTATAAATAAAATAAATTTAGTCTTCATTTTTAATTAAAAGAGATTGTGGTCAAATTAAGAGGGAAAACATATGAAAATAAATTAAAAATTAAAAACTAATTTTCTAACTAAAATAGATTTAATCTTCTCCTTCAATTAAAAAAGATTATAGTCAAATTAATGGGGAGACATGGAAATTTAGGATCGGCCATAAGATCTCTTTTTTGGTCTATTCCCTCATCTTTTTTTGAATTGAGCCTTTTCTTTATGGTTCATGTCCATGCTCACATCATCCCCTCCCCTTTCAAAAGCGATTCGTTTTTAAATCGGACACTTGTTATGCAGGGATTTTACCAATCTTATTTTTTTAAAAAAATGTTCTGCAAAACAACACTATTAAACAAAAAAAAATTTGAGGTGAGTTTATAATTTTTTCTTGAAAGATGGCTTCCTTAGCTCTTGTTCCATATAGTAACATTCTCTTTTCATGTTACTCAATCCTTTATTTTCTTCGGATTTTATGAAGTTTTTGAGTTGTTGTTAATATTTGAATACCTCCTTAGGTGATAGCAGTGTAAGTGTAAAATTATGACTACTCATGCTAAAGGAATAAGATTCCTATAGCCATCGTAAGTTTCACACTTATCATATTGTCAGGGTCTTCTAAGTAGGATGTGATTAGCATGCATGGGCACAACATCACAATGCATTTTATTAGTGTATCGCCCAATAAAGAAGGAAACTAGTATCTACTTAGTCACTTTCATCTCTTCACAATCAGTCAACCACTACAAATTGTAAGGGTGAGGATGACGCGTGTATGTCAACCCAAGTTTATCAATTAGGATAGTAGTAACAACGTTGGTGTAGCTACCCTCATCTATAATGAGATTACATGCCTTACCATTTATAAGGCAACGAGTGTGGAAGATATTCTCTCTCTGATTACTTTCTTCCTGTTTGACTTGAACATTCAGAACTCTCTTGATAACCAAAGGTTTCCCCTGAGCTGGATATTCAACGCTTTTCTCAACATCCTTTAGTGATGACATATTATCATTATTTTCGCTCTCGCAATCACTAGCACTATCAATTCTACTATCATCTCTTGATAGTATGATTTTCTTATTTAGGCATTGAGAAGCGATATGTCCGATTCTGAGACACCTAAAATATTTAATTGTACTATACTTTTTAGATGAGTTAGGTGTCATACCTTTTGTATCAAGTGGTGCAGACTTTTTATTTTTCTTGTCTGCTCCCTTGTTTTCTTCTTTCTTGGGCCATTTCAAGTTGTAGGTAGGGGTGACATATGATGTGCCCCTCCTTTTGTACTTGAGTTGTTTCTCGATTGTCATGGCCATGTGCACCATGTCTTCCACCTCTGTATAGCATTGTAATTCTACCTGATTTCTCTGTTGAGATCTTCAAGGAATCTTGCCATGGTTGTTTCGGGATCTTCTTCTATATTAACCCTGATTATGGCCATCTCTATCTCCTTGTGATAGTTCTCAGCGGACATAGACCCTTGTGTTAAGCGCTGTAACTTTTGATGCATCTCTGTATAGTAGTAAGAGGGTATGAACCTTTTTCGCATGATTGCTTTCATCTCTCTCCAGAAGGATATTGGTCGCTCTCCATTACGCTGTCTAGTAAGGAGTAGTTGATCCCACTACACTAAGGCATAGTCAGTGAACTCTATCGTTGCTACTTTGATCTTCTTTTATTCGTGGTAGTTATTGCAGTCAAAAACTAGTTCTACATTTCTCTCTCACTCCAAGTATGCGTCGATATCATTCCACCTTGAAAGATGGTATTCTCATCTTGATGGAGCTGATATTACTGTCCCTCCTTTCTTCTCTCCTCTCCACCCTATCTTCCTCCTCATCATTACAAGACTCGGCCTTATTTTCAGGATGTTGAGTTCTAGGCTGCCTTGTATTAGGGTCTTGTGTCTTGCTTCACTTCGACCACTACTCAAGTTATCTACTTTTTGACTACGTCATGCCAATTCTGCATGCATAACTTCCATAAGAAGTATTATGTTGGTAGGATTTTGATGCTCACTTGACATTTTAAGAAGATTTCCTGTAAAAGGATTAGTAAAAAAAAAAAGTTTCTTCATCAATTCTCTTGTATTTCACTCACTTGACTTTTATCCTCTAATAATTTCACACACTCTTGCTTTTTACATTTCTATCTCCTATCCTCAAGTTAAGTGCCGGATAAATGCTATTGAATTAAAGTATTCTCAAATATTGTTTTAAAACATCACAAGGAGTCCTATACAATAAATACTGCACCAATACTAGAAGTAAGAGTGTAACACACAGAAGAAGAGGTAGTGTGTTATCAATTATGCTAAGGTCTAAGATGTAATTTAGATGCTTAAATATATCAAAGAACTAAAACTTAGAATAATAAAAGAAACTGAGAGTAAAAAAAAAAAAATTGACAGTTTATAAAAGATCTAGGGATTCGGTATTGCCCCAAAGGGAAATCCGAAAGATATTTTTACTAATCTATTCTCGATGTTTAGTACATTATATATAAAATAAATGTAGTATTTAGTGAACTATGTAAATGTGAATGTACGTGGTTGTAAAAAAAAAAAGTAAAATAAAATGAGCTTTTGCCTTATGAAGAGGTGGTTCTTGCACCTTTTCAAAAATGATGGTTGAGTACCAAAAAAGTAAGACTTTTCCGACGGGATTTCTTTCCTCTGTTTCCTTTCTTTTCTCTCTCCTTTTCTTCTTTTTTATTTCTCTTTTTTTTTTTGTATAGGAAATAAAATTGTAAGAAAAGTAGATTAAAAAAGAAAATAGCGATACTCAACAACGATTTTATCAAGTCAAGAAAGTGTCAATTGATGTTATGTCTTGCTTGGATCGATGTATGAGATAATATTTTTTTTGAATAGATGAACGAAAAAAATGAAATAAATAAATAAACAGTGCAAGAATTTAAAAGTGCAAAAGTAAAAAATAGTAGGTTTAGATGGAGTCCAAGATCAACCAACGTGATCAGAAATTTATACAATTTTATTTAAAGGTATCAAAAGAATTTATCTTATAGAAATCATTTCTACTTAACTTGCTATCAAGAATGATAGAAATTAAGGTAACTGAAAATTAAAGAAATAGAATGAAAAAATATTATAAGTTCGTATCTTAATAAGTAGATCCACTCCTTACTCAACAAAACGGCAAAAACATCTCTTGAAAAGAAACACTATTAATATTATTGAGATAATTCTTGAATACTTTATAATGAAGACTTTGTGGCCTATTTATAGGCTAAGTCAAATAAATAAAAAGAAAAATAAAATATCTTAATTTAATTTACAATTACATACGAAATAAATTAAAAATTAAAAACTAATTTTCTAAGTTAGAATGATTTAATTTTTCTTTTTAATTAAATGGGATTGTCGCCAAATTAAAAGGAGAGACATATGGAAATAAATTAAAAATTAAAAGCTAATTTCCTAACTAAGATGGATTTAGTCTTTTCCTTTAATTAAAAGAGATTGTGGTCAAATTAATGAAGAGACATATAAAAATTTAGGGTTGGCTATAAGATCTCCTTTTTGATCTATTCCCTCATCTTTCTTTGGATTGGATCTTTTGTTTATGATTGATGTGCATGCTCACATCATAACCTTTCAATCTCTCTGCTACTTTCCTGCCCATTTTCCTCAAAATCAGTGTTACAATCATCAAAATTTTCTTCAACCACCATTAATGCAAAATCATTACCTTCTTTGGTTGCACAGACCAATGCGCACCCCTCTCCGCCCGCTGAATGATGTTGGCACCTTCTGGTAGCGGCTCTCTCCCCTTTTTGTTGAAACCACCATCCCTTTCATCCGGCATTGTAATGTTTCCACTATCCTCTGCCGATTCCCTAGTCCTCGTGCTGGAAACGCCATCACAAACAACAATCTCTTGCCTCTTGACACCCCTGGTCATCATTTTCGGATTCTCCATCGAAGCCCGACACTCTGCCTCATTCTCCCCCTCTGCTTCTTTTCTTTTTTCATATGTTTTTCCATCTTGAACTGATTCGGGATTCTCGGTCGGACCGCGGTTCACCAGTCTCCAAACCAACTGGCCTCTTAGGCTTGAGTTGGATCTGAATCTGCTTGGGCTGAGTATGTCGATCCACTTCCCTTTCTCCCGACAAGTAAATCTGCGGCCCACTCTCAACCTGTTTCTCTACCCTATAGGCTCGTTAGCTTTTAATTCGTATCTCCCAAAACAACGGGACCCACCTACGTTTTGATCTGGTCTCGGTCCATCACGAACCGAACGGTTTTGAATCCTCGTGAACCCGAAATGGCCACCCCCCTTTCCTTTTTCCAGGAAACCGGTTCCAGCTATGGGCACGGATCTTTCCTGCCCTACCGGGTGCGAATTTTGCACTAGTTGTTTGAGTACTGCAGCTGCCGTCTCCTTCCCTTTCCTGCTCACCCTAACCTCCATTTCTTCTCCACAGCATGGACAACTTACAGAAAATGATCTGGGAGCTGAACATTTTTTCCAATCCTCCACATTCTCCTGCCTCACCATCAGCCTCCCCTTCCCCTTCAACCATTCTGGTTCCACTAGCTCGACTCCTTGCACTTCGAAAATCAACTCCATGAACTGCCACCATCCGCTTGTCTTTTCCCTTTCCAGAATAAAGATTTGCCTAAAACCCTTCATTTCTTCAGTGGAACCTTCGGATAGCACCAAGAATTTCTCTCCCCGAATTGAACTCAAGGCCATCCATAGTGTCCGCTCCCCACTCTTCCAACTTCTTCCCCAACCTTCCTCCCTTTTCTCCCACCGAAACTACTCCTCCTGAGCCAATCAACATCCCTCTTAAGAAAAAATATTGACTTTCGAAATCATTTCCCATTTTCGTAAACTCTCAGCCTTTCCTCCTCTCCAGTAATGTTGAAAGACTTCTGCTCTATCCTCACAAATTTCCGGATACCCGTAAACATTGCCTAGTCACAATGATGTTGTCGCGACCGTGTCGACGGCGACGGAGACGCTCAGTTCTATAGATTGAACTATCTACAAATATGGCCATATGTTTCAGAAACCCTTTGCACTCCACTGACAACTTACAAAATATACTATTATTATTCTTTTCTCATCTTAATAATACTTCTTTTTCTATCAAAAAAAGATCAAACTGTAGTTTCACCCAAACTAAAAAGACGTTCATGTAATTTCCCAAAACATATTTCAATAACATTGAGTGATAGTTAAATTAAAAATTCGGGCATTGCACTTGTGAGATAACTTACCTGCCGCAAAGGGAGGCCTATTGGACTTAAGACAGAGTCAGGAGCAGGAATTCTATTTTCCTCTCAATCTACACTTACGATTTACAGTAAACATCATTGTTCAAACTCAAAACTTCCGTTTCTAAATCAACACTAACATGCTTTAAGCACATTTCTCTAAGTAATTAAGAACATATTAGTAGAGCTGTTGTCAATGCTTTAATGGCTCTCTAATTAATTTAGTGTCAGGTCATACAAACGCACTATTCTTTACCAAAATATAGCCAATACTTATTGTTTACCGTACTCTTGAACCCCATAATGGAGTTGTTAATGCTTCGATGCTCTCTGTATAATAGCTTGACTCTGTTCTTTGTGCCATCTAGCTAATTGATTTCAGATTGTTCTATGTGCAAGAGTGCTTTCATAAAGACAAGGAGTTTTAAAATGGAAAAACATGAAATCTCCAAATATTTGTGGCTAACTTTAAGGAGATCTGTTTCTCCAAGCATTTGTTATTAACTCAGGCAATCTTATTTCTACTTCAGATAAATATTTGGATTACTTGCAACTTCAAAAATTCTAAGTTGTGTAGTTTCATGCTGCATCTAGAATACTGGTCTTGTCTGCTTAAGTTCAAGATGATTTTAAGAAAAACCTACTAATTTTAGCTTTTGGCAGGTTATGGATTCACTTCTCTGCTGTGTATCTTCTTACTGGATTTGTCTGCTGTCTTCTTTATTATGTAAGAGAATCTTTCAGATACTTTTGTTTATTAGAATGTGAAAATTTGTCTGTCAAGTGTAATTAAAATATATATTTTTGAAATACTACGATGATAATGATAGACCCCTAGTTAAGTTTGTTTATGAGAGGAGGGGAACAAAAGGGAAGAAGAAGCTGGCAGGATAAGTTACCAGAAATACCCTTGCGTGGGGACTGTTTTCTAATTTGAAATATGAGGAGTTAGTTAGACTTTGGGATCAGGAAAGGAAAGAGGCGAAGATGAGGGAAAGAAATAGAACCGATGATGCCACTGACATTGCAAATTGTATTAGGAGAGAGGTAGCATTCTTAAAACTGCTATACTTTCTCTCTTTTTGACCTTCATTGGCAGAATTTGCATTAATACAACCAGTTTCAGTATTCTATTTGCTTTTATTTCCTTTGATCTAATCATTCTGCTATAAGAGTCAACAATCTACGATGACACAGAAGAAGTGGGACTCAAGAATTGATTTATTTCCTTTGGTCTCCTCCTCACACGATGGCACAGGAGATAGGTGGAATGAAGGAACAATTATAGAGATTTCCAAGGCTTGAGTATTCTATCGAGCAGTTAGTACAAAACATCATCCAAGCATTTGGAGACCCAAAAGATAATCTCATCTCTAACGAACCAACTAATAACAATAGAATACTCAATTCTTGAGTACGTGGTGCAGTACGACGGAGGATTCCATGCGTTTGGTGGGGAAATCTCCTGAATGGAACAGACTGCAATTGAAATAGGAGCAGCACCCTGGGCAAAAGGTGGAAAGTATAGGAGTAGTAGGTGGGGGATAGGGGGCGATGGACCTACTAGCAGTGGGAGGAGGAGAGTGGTTGGCCAGATTACTATTACAGATGCCAATTTTTTCTGGGGATAGCCCCAGTTGTTGGATATTTCAAGTTGAACGTTACTTTTAGATTAATAGAATGATCTCAGCAGAGTGGTTGTTGGCTGTGGGAGGACCTTGATGTCTTATCTTGATTCCAATGAACTAAGGCACGAGACTTATTCATAGATTGGAACGATTTCAAACACTATTCATTGCTACCATTCTAGCAATCATAGAATGGAGTGTTGCATGAGCAGTTTTTGAGGATGCACTAGTAAGGAACAGTGGCCAAATACCTTGGGCACTTCGAGCTCTAGTTTGCACCACTTCAAGGGCAGTTGATGGAGGTTCCTGAGAGTACCTTTATGAGGAGGCTCAAGTTGAAGGTAAAAGCTGAATTGCGATTGACGAGATGGGGAGGACTAGGCCAAATATGGACCTGGCCTAGCTGATTGAATAAAAAATATGGGTGCTTAAAAGGCCACGGGAAGAACAAGTTACTATCAACTCATATGGCAAGTCTATGGAAAAAATATAGGAGCCTTTTCGTACAGAACCCATGATCCTAGGAGAGTGACCTTTAACCCATAGAAAATAAACTCTTGTAAGAAGATTATCAGAATGGGAGTGGTGGCGAGAAGAGTTAAGGAGTTATTGATGCGGAATCCTGGATCAATAACGGAATTCAAAATCCCGCATATATATCAGCAATCAGAAACTCAAAATTCTACGTAAACTTCTTTATTTGACCCACACTCAATAAGGGAGTGAAAATCAAAATAATTGGGAAAGAAATAAAGAATTAGAATTGAAAAGACGTCAAAAGACTTAACTCAATAAATGATCCCAATTCATAGCACAATAATTCAGTCGAGAACCCTCTCACTCACTCTTGCAAACTTGAAAGTTTAAAATAAGAATATCTGAATTTTATTAATAAACCAAAAATTTTGAATGAAGTACAATTCTAAATTGAAAACCTATTTATAGTTTAAACCATACGAATAATAAGGGAAAAGAATAATTTCTTAATTAATATTAGAAA